AGAAAATCATAAAAAAATAGAATATTTGTCAAAAAATGGTGCCAATTATTGCATTAATTCTTAAAAATCATATATTAATTTTACAATACAAAACATAAAAAATGTAAATTTTGGACCCAACCTGGCCTCTGGGCACCCCACTACGCGGGCCGGGGGCTTTTTGACAGTGTTTTACTTTTTTTTATAATTTTTTTGGCCATTTTTTTAGGCATGCCGAGTAAAATGTAAGGATCGTGTCTACAAAATTTCATAATTGTTTGACGTCAATTTTATTTTTAAAGATGAAAAATAAAGAAAATCATAAAAAATAGAATAGTCATCAAAAAATGGTGCGTATTGTTGCATTAATTCCTACAAATTATATATTAACTTTAGAATGTAAAACATAAATAAAAATATAAATTTTGGATCCAACCCGGCCTCTGGGCACCCCACTACGTAGGCCGGAGGCTTTTTGACAACGTTTTACTTTTTTTTTATCATTATTTGCATGCATGCCCAGAAAAATGTACAGATCTTGTCTACGAAATTTCATAATTGTTTGGCGTCAATTTAATTTTCAAAGATGAAAAATAAAGAAAATCATAAAAAATAGAATAGTCATCCAAAAATGGTGCCTATTGTTGCATTAATTCCTAAAAATCGTACTTTAATTTTAGAACGTAAAACATAAATAAAAATATAAATTTTCTACCCTTCCCGGCCCCTAAATGCCCCATTACGCAGGCCAAGTGCTTTTTTACAGCGTTTTACTTTTTTTGCCATTTTTTGTGGCCATTTTTTGCAAGCATACTTAGAAATATGTAAGGAATATGTATGCAAAATTTCATAATCGGTTGACATCAATTTTATTTTATTTTATTTTTTAAAGATGAAAAATAAAAAAAATCATAAAAAATAGAATATTCATCAAAAAATGGCGCAACTTCTTGCATTAATTCCTAAAAATTATATATTAATTTTTGAATCCAAAACATAACTAATAATGTAAAGTTTTGACCCATCCCGATCCCTGGGCGCCTCACTACGCGGGTCGGGGGCTTTTTAACAACGTTTTACTTTCTTGCCATTTTTTGAGTCCATTTTTTGCACGCATGCCCAGAAAAATGTAAAGATCGTGTATGTAAAATTTCATAATTGTTTGACGCCAATTTTATTTTATTTTATTTTTCAAAGATGAAAAATAAAGAAAATCATAAAAACAAGAATATTCATCAAACAATGGTGCCGCTTATTACTTTAATTCCTAAAAATTGTATATTAATTATAGAATACGAAACATAAATAAAAATATAAATTTTTGACCCATCCTGGCCCCTGGGTGCCCCACTACGCAGGCCGAGGGCTTTTTGACAGCGTTTTACGTTTTCTTGTCATTTTTGAGGCCATTTTTTCTCAAGCATGCCAAGAAAAATGTAAGGATCGTTTATGCAAAGTTTCATAATATTTTGACGTCAATTTTATTTTATTTTATTTTTCAAAGACGAAAAATAAAGAAAATAATAAAAAATAAAATATTTATCAAAAAATGGTGCCGCCTATTGCATTAATTCATAAAAATCATATATTAATTTTATAATGCAAAACATAAATAAAAATGTAAAGTTTGGACCCATCCTGGCCCCTTGGCGCCCCACTACGCGAGCCAGGGTGCTTTTTGACAACATTTTACTTTTTTTGTTATCATTTTTGGAGGCCATTTTTTGTAGCCATGCCCAAAAAAAATGTGAAGATCGTGTCTGTAAAATTTAATAATTGTTTGACGTCAATTTTATTTTATTTTAGTTTTTAAAGATGAAAAATAAAAAAAATCATAAAAAATAGAATATTCGTCAAAAATGGTGCCGCTTATTGCATTAATTCCTAAAAATCATATATTATTTTTAGAATGCAAAACATAAATAAAATAGTAAAGTTTGGACCTATCCCGGCCTCTGGGCGCCCTACTACGCTGGCCGGGGGCTTTTTGACAGCATTTTACTTTTTTTATCATTTGTTGCAGGCATGTCCAGAAAAATGTAAGGATCGTGTATGCAAAATTTCATAATTGTTTGATGTCAATTTTATTTTATTTTATTTTTCAAAGACGAAAAATGAAGAAAATCATAAAAAATAGAATATTCATCAAAAAATGGTGCCGCTTGTTGCATTAATTCCTAAAAATCATATATTAATTTTAGAATGCAAGCCATTAATTATAATGTAAATTTTTGACCGATCCCAGCCCCTAGGCGCCCCACTACGCGGGCTAGGAGCTTTTTGACAGTGTTTTACTTTTGTTGTCATTTTTAGGCCATTTTCTGCAGACATGCCCAGAAAAATGTAAGAATCGTGTATGCAAAATTTCGTATTTGTGTGACGTCAATTTTATTTTATTTTATTTTTTAAAGATGAAAAATAAAGAAAATCATAAAAAATAGTATATTCTTCAAAAAAAAAAAAAAACGGTGCCGCTTAGTGCATTAATTCTTAAAAATCGTATATTAATTTTAGAATGCAAAACTTAAATAAAAATATAAATTTTTGACCCGTCCCGGCTCCTGGGTGCCGCACAACGCGGGCTGAGGCTTTTTAAAAGTGTTTTACTCTTTTTTGTCATTTTATGAGTCCATTTTTTGCAGGCATGCCCAGAAAAATGTAAGGATCATTTCTGTAAAATTTCATAATTTTTTGACGTCGTTATTATTTTATTTTATTTTTCAAAGATGAAAAATAAAGAAAATCATAAAAAATAGAATATTCGTCAAAAATGGTACCGCTTGTTGCATTAATTTCTAAAAATTATATATTAATTTTAGAATGTAAAACATAAATAAAAATGTAAAATTTTAACCTATCCTAGTCTCTGAGCGCCCCACTACGCAGATCAAGGACTTTTTGATCAGGTTTTACTTTTTTTTGTCATTTTTTGAGGCCATTTATGTTTAATTCAAAGGCAAATCCAATGTTCCTGCTTAGCTTGTCAGCGAGCGTAAAGTGGGGATTCCCTAATGGTTACATTGTGGGTGTTTTTTCACTTGCTCTTTCTTGCCACATAAATCACGCATATCTACTACACAATTTATTGTTTTTTATTGGTGCATATAAGCGATTCCCTTGATCTATCTACTTTTAATTAAAAAAAAAAATCAACATCTAGGAATTTGCACGGCGTGAACATAAATGTGACCAGTATAACTGGTTTATAGTGAATTGCTTATTGAGACTAAAGTGGCCGGGCTTGAACAAAAAATAAACCAGGCAATTTTGATGAAAAAATCACACCAATTAAAACCCTAAAAAGTGTTTGGTATGCGGTAATTTGATGCATAAGCATGAGAATTCAGGTTTGGTACACATTTAAACTTTAAAGTGTCTTTTAAAATAATACCAATACTTTTACTTTTAAAATAAAAAAAATAGTTAATTAACAGCGCTCACTATAACAGCCAGGTCAGGTCGTGAGAATAGTCCAATCATACTATTTTTTTTTTATACAACATTGGATTCTCAATCCCCACCCAAATTCACCCCACCTAAATTCTTAATGCCACTAGATCAAGAGGTTCTAGGCAGACTATTTAGACTTTTTCATTATAAAGAAATATAGAAGAATGCCATTTTAGTGAGCGAGTATAAAGATTTATCACTTTCATGAATATTCTCTTCCTCTATATCAAATCATGAATGCTGATCGCATAGGAAGTGTTGACGGTGAAATTTCGTCAACAAGATTATGCTAGATTACCACTTGATGACCAGTTGAGTTACCGGTTAAAACTAGTTATACTCTCGAAAAAAATGCAACCGGTTATGTTTGTTTTCAAGGTATTTTGAAGACGTATAGATTTGTTGCTAAACGAAAGTAAGAGAACACACGAGTTTATAATGGTTCACTCTATCATGAAAGATCTACGTCCACTTATTATTGTATTTTTCTTTTGTTCTTCAAAGATTACAAAAAACTCTCTTTTTTTCTTCTCTGGGGCTTTACCTCTTTTATACCTTACAGATTGCATATGGATGCCTTTTTAGGACGGACTGTGATAGGAGGTTCTCTGATGGTTTCTCTCAAGTAGTCTATTATCCTACATGCCTAGACCGTAGCCTCTCAGCACTTTTTGGACTGTTCACTCACCCACTTTGTCTACTATTGCTATGATTTTCATTGGTCCGTTCTAGGTGGTTTATGAGCAGGTAATCATTTCCTGTGCTACTGACCTTCTCTAAACTCAGAAGTAACCTAGGGATTTCCCTCTTATCACCTTAGAGGTCATTCTTGGGACGTGGACCCAAACTCATGCGTTCTGTCCTCTGCGTCTACACTACATTTCACAAGCCCAACCTCCGTCCCGGTCGATCCCCTCACAATACCGTTGGTCTGCAGAGAACAAATCATGTTTGTATGGTCAACGGTTGCATGAATTGTCCAATACGATCGGCCTGTTAACCGGATGACGGAGGAAAAATAAGCTTTAGGTGTTGACCGCTGTCTGATGTGGCGGGTTAGGGTCACGTGGAGCATGGTCATCATCCGACGCGTCAAAACATATTTTCCCACACAACATGAAGAAATTTCAAATCATGGTGTCTCGGACAGTTGGTGAGCGTGTCTGAGGGGTCATGCTTGACATGGCAGTAAGAAGTTATCCATAGAGACGTGAAAGTTTGTGGATGGGGTCCCAGCAAGATGCAAACAAAAGAAACAAAGCATCTTTATATACATCTTTCATTGCTTTTGTATGATTCAGAATCCCAAGCACGCCAAATGTTTCTCGTGGAAAGCCCCCAAAATGGGCCTTAACAACTCCACAAGCACGGCACTTTCTGTTCACTTCCATGTTGCAAAATCTTTGGCATATTGGACAACCGGGCATGCAATGTATAATATCCCACAATCACATTTGATGGTCAACTAAAATTATTTCAGAATAAGGACCAAGAAAATGTAACGATCTTATAATTGAACAATATAAGAGAGAGAGAGAGAGAGAGAAATGTTATTGAAGAAGAATTTGGGTATTTATTAAAGAATAATTAAAAGATCTGAAATTGCCTCGGATATTTGTATGAAGCCATAAACCATTTTGAGTTTTAAGTGAAATGTCTCTGTTTATAGTTCTAACGTTCTTCCCTCAAACTTTTAAAATGTAAAAAGTAGCTAATAATAGAACTTTAAACTATTCGTGAGAGGTGAAGAGCTAGATTCTTACATTATGATACACTTGAATAAAATCTGTACATGGCTCACTTAAGTCTTTGGTTTAAGAATGTGGCGTAACTGAGATTTCTGGCTTTCAATCATTGCTTCTGAAACCTTGGCCTTCAGTTCATTCCTTTGAATCACCCGAGGCCATTCAATGCATCCTTTCATCCCCCGAGTTATGTGCGGATTCGCCAAGCCTGCTGAGATCCACTTCCCGCGGCGCCTGGGCTCACCCTCACCCAACTGCCTATCTGGTGAAGTTAATTCCACACAAGAAATTGTCCCATTTGAAAGCCTTTTGTCACCCTCATTGGAAACTATCTTAGAAGTACCATCGGATGGTTTTGATCTCCAAACCTTCAGTTTGTCTGTTGATACAGAAATATCACTGACTGCGTTAATAGGAGAACATTGATCTGCATCTTCATTAGATACATTTATGCTCCTCAAATCATTTTTCTTTGGATTGACCTTCTTAAGGGAGGAATTAAACCCTTCTAGTGAATGCCTAGAACACTGATACTCTCCGTGACTCACAGCATCACAGACCTCGGCATCTTCTTCTAAAGCACTGTTGTAGTCGCTGAGGCAATTCGAATATGGCAGAAGATGGTTCCTACTGAGTCCATTTATCACAGGACTTTCCATTTCAGAATCGTGGCTCACGCGACTGTGTCTATTGCAGGGTTCGATCTCCCTCTCACAACCTTCAAATTCTTGCATTTCTTTCAGAATAGAGAAAATGTCATTCGATTTCGGTGGAGCATACGAAAATTCCTCAAAGATATCTTGAATGGTCAATGACTCTGCTGCGGCCTGCAGGATCTCTTCAGCTTTTCTTAGCTCCTCCACATCTAGAGAACAACTTGCTGATCCTAGTAAATTTTCTATTTCTGTTATCAGCATGTTCATCTTAGAATACTTGTCTTCAAGAATCAGTTTTGCATCAAGCAACTTCATCTGGACCCGTTCTTCACGCCAAACCTCTGCTAACTGCAACATCTTCCTCTCCTCTTCTAAATCTTCACGAACTTCTATGTATTCCCTCTTTAGTCTCTCAACTTCGGTCTTGTCTTCTTCAATTTCTTTAACTAGTTTATCACAAACATCTTCCACTAGCTCTCTACTTTTCTTCTTTTCCTCGTAACCCTGCATTAATTGCTCTGCAGATAATTTGACATGGGCTAACTGATTGACCAACTTGGTGTTGAGAATTTCCATTCTCTTCCGACTTTTCCTCTCCCTAATTAATTCTCCCCTTAATTCATCAGTAGCTGCATAATGTTTGAGTTGCTCTCTTCTCTGCCAAGGAATTCTTTCCTCTTCGAGCTTATTCAAGAGGTGTTTGACTTGCTTCCTCAATGATTTCTTCGTAGCTTCAAGCTCACGAATGCGACATCTCGCTACCAATAGTTCTGCTTGCAGCGCCGAAACAATAGACATGCTAGAACCTTGTTTTTCCGCAAGCATCTTCTTGCGGCTGAAGACGTAATAGGCATCATCAGATGCTTTTGAGCACCCGCGATCGTCCTTTGTTTTTTTCTCCACCACACAACCGGGATATGGCAAAGAAAGTTCAATCTAGAAAGTTTACAAGGCATAAAAGGAAAGTTAGAGCCTTGGAGGATCAAAATTTAGGTAGTAAAACCTACATATAAACAAGGAAGACACCAATTTAACATAAACAAAATGAGCAAAGGGTACCATAATCATGTGCTGAAATCCTTTTTAAAGAGTGTATCCAATTATATACAACTAACAAGTAAATTATGCTAAATTGTATGAGTTAGATCATAGAGGTATTTTGGGTTTCGCAATTGACCACTCTACATTTCAGTATCTCAGTTTTAAAAATTAAGAGTTTAATAAATTTAGAAATTGCAAAAATTCGCATTAACATCAGAGCAGAAACTGAACCTCACAAGTAAATAAGCCTAAGCTTATGCTACTACAGACTACAATTTACAGTATAGGTAGAAACTTTATTTTCTTGTAAACCAAACAATCATCAGAAATTCTCCATTCTGTTTCCATTACAAGTAAAACAAACAAAGAAACACATGGTTATACTTGATATGATCAACGTAATCGCGAAACAGAAATCACACAATTTCCTTGCAATTGAAACAAAACTTTCACACATAAATCTCAACAAAGATTCAAAATTCTCAAAAAGCGAAAAATCACAAGAAGATGATCGCCGCGAAAACAACAAGTAATAATACTTTACACACACCTTCGGACGAAGGCGATCGCAAGGTCCATCGGCAACAGAAACCTCGTTGAAGCGGAGCCGCCAGAGGCCGGCGGCGAGCTTTCTGGAGGAGAGCCGAACGCCTCCGGAAGGTTCGGCGGCGGTGGAGTCGTGGAACTTCCAACGCAGGAGTGGAGTGGAGGGAGCTGCTCTGTTGGGGCGGCGGCGAGAATTGGAGTGTCTCCGGCGGTGAAGAGAAGCCCTGGAACAGGGCAAACCAGAGAAGGTCATTGACTCATTGGGTTAGGGGAAGCGTGGAAGCCATTGGAGATACAGAAGAAGAAGAAGAAGAAGAAGAAGAAGAAAGAGACGTGGGTTCAAGTTTCGGAATTGATGCCAACCGAACTGTGCTTATAATCTATACGTATCGTCGTTTCCAACTGGATTTTTTTTTTCTTTTTTTTAAATAAAATTTGTTATTTGCATTTTTCGAGGGCGACAGGTAATATTTGTGGATTGCATCCGAAATATCGTCACTGTTTTAAATAGAAAATCCAAACACCAATCCATACACATAATTTATACTATAAGAAACACGACACTACATATGACTGATTTTATCAGTAAATTTGAATAAAATTTTAAAAAAATTAATATATACTAGACTCCATAAACAAAAATTACTCAGAGAGATACACAAAAAATCGAGCACTGTGCACATAACTCGTTGATAGATTCTCTACAAAAAAATGGAACCGATCCGATCAATTAATATCGAGAAATCCATAGAAGGCTACATAAAAACTGCATAGAAACATATCTTATTGAAGAAAAAAAAAACATATCCTCATTTTTTTTGCTTTGTCATAAATTTTCAAATAAAATTTTCTTAAAAAAATAAATTTTCAAATAAAATTGAGACCTATTTGATGATTGGATATCTCTACTAGCTTCATATTGATTTTATGATTCTATTAGTCAAAATCACATTAAAATAAAACTTGAGAGTTTTATGAAATGATTTGTGTGGAACTAGAGTCGAAATAATATAGTGAGATTGGTTAAAAATTTATGGTATGTTATAGCACTTTTCTTATAGTATTCACATGAAATTTTCTGTAAATTTTCGCTCAAGTTTTTTTTTTTTTTTTTTTTTTTTTTTTTTTTTTTTTTTAAGGTATTTTACCTTTATGGCTAGAATATGCACATATAATATTTTAGCCAAGATTTCTGATTACATGATTGTAATAAATATGAACTTCTCACTACAATATATTGAAGATCAAGTCACGTGTAATGCAATATATCACCATTTTCATGTCAAACGGAGAACTCGCAAACCATTACATGTTATCCATTAATATATTATTCTATTACTGGATTAATCTTATTTATCTAAATAAGTCAAGCAGTTCAAGAACGTGCATATTACGCTTGGCGTATTTTTCATCCATTAATGTGGTAAAACCCCCTATTTAAGTGTTGTGATTATCTAAATTATGAACAGTAATAACAAATTAACATCTTGTGTTGATTAGAGATTTAGATATAAATTAAAGAAGGCTTAAAATTCTTGCGTGTTTCAGAATATAGGCCACCAGTATTACGTACCAAGAATAATGCGCACAATTTCCTATACAAATATCTTTTTATGTACGTATTGTGAACAGATTTGCCAGTACTTAGTAACAGTAAGTTGTACATGAACATGCTTGGTACGTACTTCCAATTAATCCAAAAACACATTGAAAAAAATGTCCTAAAAAAACGCACATCGAAAAAAATGGTCCAAAAAAAGTGGGTGGGTATGATCTCTTTATTTCTTGTTTCATCTGTTACCTAAGTAAAGTGGACGTGGTCCTTACAATCTGCACTAGTGCAGGCAGTGACAAATTATGTATTGGCGTTCAAACAATACTGTTTTAAATGCTGGCTTGATATTCATGGACATATATTTATAATATACATACATATGTAAAGAATATGGAAATATAGCATTTCTAGACAAGAGAATATACATGGAAATATTTACGCCTTTGTTATGTCATAAAATATGTGACATCACCATAATAAGACAGTTAGGATATTGGCAGAGATGCATTGCCACATACCTGCTCAAATTATGGACTGCACACTCCCTAAAGTTTTGCTATTACTAGCTTTCTTATCAATCATATCAATTTAAGCAAGCAATTTTGCCATTTTCCAAATGCAAGTACGTAATTGACTTGCTTGTTTGGGATAGAATATATGCACGATCCATAACGCATACTAATAGATAGAACTCAACATTCCAGCTAGGGAGATATATATATATATATATATATATGTATATAGTTGGTACCTAATCAGTAATCACAACGACCACTGTGAAAAAGAAAATACGTAAATATAAAGTTGACAAGAATAGAATACGCGTAGTAATTGCACATATGCTTACGTGTCTTGTTGAGGTTGAACTTTTAAACCCTTTAAGATAACTGGTACACCAAGTAGTCACATTAGCATAAATTTCAATGAATACTACAATAAAAGGCTGAATACACGACAGTGAACAACCACAGTTCCTCATGTGACTGTTGTTAATCAATGGGATAGTAAAAACACGGTAACAATCTTACAGGCCAACTTTAAGCTCCCCCTGCTTTGTTCTATGTTCATGCAATTAACTCTTCTTGTTCTATTTTGTTTAGTTGTTGGAATATTAATTTGGTACATACAGAACATGCACAAAATAATTTTTTTTTTCTTGTTTCTTTTTTTCCCCCCATGGAAACTGACAAAGAGTTCTTTCATTCATTTTTTTAAATCATTGATTGATGAGGATTTTGGTTACAAGGAGTTCTCAAAATTATCACAAAGTTTTGCAACGTTTGTTGCGTTGTTTGGTGTTTATTATGCCTATGCTTTTATTGTAGATATTTTTTTTTTTCTCTAATTCTAAAATTCATCAAGTCCCTAAATAATGAACATGCAGAGGTAAACAACAGAATAATTAAAATAGTTTATTACTATAGATCTAGTGATGCTATACAATCATACAAATAGATTACCCATAAATATGACAAACAGAAATTACGACTACAGAATTAAAAGTATGTTGCTATAATAAGTTTTGGTGATTTCTAACATATACACCACTTAGTAACACTACTGTTGGCAAGAAATTAATGGTAATTAATTAATGCTAGACTCTAATATAGGCCAAAAGGCAAACACAAAAAGGAAAAAGTCTTCTTCAGTTACCAATTTCAGACCTTGCCTATAATTATATTATCATATTATAATAAATATAATTATATCAATATAATATAATGTAATAATATTATTGTAATATTATTAATATAATAAGTTTAATTATATCAATACAATATAATATATAATATGTTATAAAATAATAATTACAATATCATATTATAATTATAATATCATATTATTAAAATAATTATAATATATATGATAAAATGATAATATTAGAGTTATTAATATAATTATGATATTATTTGTTACAATATTACTATTATATTATATTATATTATATTACGAGTGTGAATTTTAGATTGAGAAGATTGTAAATTTTAAATTTTATTAGAGGTATTATGAGTATTATGAAAGTTTCATTAATTGATTCCCGCACAAACTAAAAGCTAAAGTTGTCTGTAGGCTGCTTCTGATTTTGGCTAAATTCTTGAAAAATTCTTCAAAAAGTACTTTTAAATAGATTTACTAAATACTAAAATCAGCTTTTGCCACTACAACAGAATGGACTTTTGATAACTTTTAGTTATAGCGTTTTTGAAAAACCGCTATTAAAACTTATTTTGTTTGAATTTTATAGCGTTTCATAAAAGTTATTTTGAGTGTATATATATATATTAAAAAATCATGAAATATGTTGGCGGTAATGTTTTATATATATATATATATATATTAGAATTTAATTTGGTGAAAATGCCTTCCCTCCGTAAATTCAAATTCCCCAAATTTGCAGGTATTGAAAATTACTTCTCCAAATTTTTAAATTCCCGCTCGCTCATTCTCCCTCTTTATTTGTTCTCTGCTTTTACTACTTATATATATTAGAATTTAATTTGGTGAAAATGCCTTCCCTCCGTAAATTCAAATTCCCCAAATTTGCAGGTATTGAAAATTACTTCTCCAAATTTTTAAATTCCCGCTCGCTCATTCTCCCTCTTTATTTGTTCTCTGCTTTTACTACTCTAATACCCATACGAACAAAAGCTTCCCCCACTTTCACCCATTTTTCACTCCTCCACGCTCATTTTCTTCTTCATTTTTTCACTCCACGCTCCTTTTCTTCTTCATTATTTTGTTCCATGCCGAAGTGAAGCTAGGGCTTCTTCTCTCTACCACTGCTCCTTCTTTTCTCTCCACCGCTGCTCCTTCTCTTCACGGTGACCCTCGCTTTCTCTCAAAAGTCACCCGCTGCTCCTCCTCCTTCTTCTTTCCTTCAGATTCGGCCTTTGGGAAGTCAGATTTCTTGCAAGGCCGCAGCTCCGTTTCAAGTATTTCCCCTGTCCATTCTACTTTATGCCATCCATGGCTTTCTCGATCCCATTTACCAAATCCCCACTTGGATCCTCCAAATCGGCCCTTTTCCGTAATGGGTTCTCTTTACAATCATATGTTCTTCTTGGATTTTTCGTAAAGTCTCGTTCTTCGAGTATTTACGCAAGAGCAGGCACAAAGAAGAGTCTCTATGACTTCACTGTAAAGGTATTTGTTTGGTGAAAAAGCTCGTTCCTTTGTACTCTATTGTTTAATTTAAATTTGTTGTTTTGAATCCAGGTAAAGGTGATTGTGAGGTTTCCGAGCCGTGTTCAGTTTACAGACGCAGGCCATCTCTACTCCCCATGTCTCCGTTCTCCTGTCGGCGGTTTCCTCCACTCCTTCGCGGCCTCCAAGATTGTCGGTTGCTTCAGGTGCTCTTTGATTTTTTTTTTAATTGTGTGTAATTGGCTTAAGATTCAGAATTTAGGATTTGTTTTGTTACTAACTGATTTTGACTTTGGGGGAAATTAGATATAATTGTTGAGAATTCTGAAATGGATAATTTGGATGCGCTTAAAAAGTTAGCCTGTCTAGGAGTTATTGCATTTTACACGATTGCCTTATGGAATTAATTATTGGTATGCTTAATTGTGGGTAAGAACTACTGGTTTGACCGTTTGGGATAATATTAGTAAGACAATATTGGGGTTTAAAAATTATTGATTTCTTCGGCCAAAGATCATCATAGATGCATGAATTTCTTTGTTTTCTTAGTTTATGTCATCTTTAAGTAACAAAGGAAGATAAAATTTTAAGGAAAGGACACAACTAACCGGAGAACTTTGCAGCAGAAAAGCAGGCCTAGCAAGTATGGCTAACATGGAGCAAATAAGTGCTGTTTCTTTTTCTTTTCTGTT